TAGGAATCTAATTTCCTTCTACATGTAACTGTCTAGTTTGCCTAGCACCATTTGCTACAGAGAATGAGTATTTTTTGCATTTTTGTCCACAATCAATCACTGGGGATGGGAAGATGGCTCAGTGGGTAAAAGCACTTCCTGTGCACTAATTTCATGTGCCCATAACCCCAGCACTGGAGGATGGAGACAGGTGGTTCCCAGGAGCTTGCTGGCCAGCCAGCCTAGCCGAATGGGCAAGTTTTAGAGTTGGTAAGAAAACCATGTCTCAAGGCGGTAAGGTGATAGTGGAAAACACTTGACATCCTCCTCGAACTCAACTAGCTTTTCCCTCTTTAACTTTTTTCCAACTTCACTGTCAGAATTGTTGCCTGAAGAGCTTGTAAAAACAAACTCATAGGAATTTCTCCTTCCTGCTGTCCAACAACCTCCTGCTCCCTTGCTCTGGACCCTATACCTGCATCTTCTATTCTAATCCATTGTTCTGTCTGTTTTGGTATCAGTACCAGGCTGGTTTTATTACTATGACTCTGTAATATAACTTGAAATCAGGAATGGTGATACTTCTCAACCTTAGCTTATTTTTGTTTGGATTGCTTCGTCTATGCCAGGTCTTTTGCCCTTTATTAAAGTGATTTTTAAAAAACTGTTAAATATAGGGTTTTCTCTTTTTTGCATTTTTAATTGAATTTTGTGATTATCATACAATATGGTTTGATGGCATTTAGTTCTCCCCTCTCCCCACCTGCCCCCACTGCCACTCTCATATATAATACATATTATGGCCTATACAGTGTGATTTGTATCCTCCAATGTCCTTCAGTGTGGATCCATTCACCAGACCCACCAAGAGTCCCATCTCTGTAAGACACTCTCTCTCTTCCTCCCAGCAGCCATTATTTGCCAAAAGTTCCTTAGACTGGGTTGAGATTTCCTACTCACTTCCCCATGTATGTGCTGGGATTTTGTCTGCTTTGACCAAGTGAATTTTAAGATTGTTTTTTCTATTTCTGTGAAGAATGACGTTAGAATTTTCATTGGCACTGCATGGAATCTGTAGATTGCTTTTGAAAAGATCGCTATCTTCACAATATTGATTCTTCTAATCCATGAGCATGGGCGGTCATTCTGTCTTCTAGTGTCTTGTTTGTTTCTTTGTTTTGGTAGGGTCTTGCTAAGTAGCCTGGTCTGAACTGAAACAGGCTGGCCTAAAATTCATAGAGATCCACCTACCCATTCCTCCTAAGTACTGAGATTAAAGATGAAACTACCATGCCAGGCTTTTCAGAGTTTTATAATTTTCATATATAGGGCTTTCATATCCTTGGTTAGGTTTATGCCTGGGTTTGTTTATTTTTTAAGATTGTTAGGAATGATATCTTTTCCCCTAATTTCTTGTTTAGTATGTTTGTTATTGGTATATAGAAAGACTACTGATTCTTCTTCCATGTAAATTTTGTATACTGCCACTTTGCTTGAAGCATTTATCCATTCTAAGATTTTTCTGGTGGACTCCTTATGTATAGAATCACATCATCTGTAAATAAGGACACTTTGAATTTCCCCTTTCCTATTTGTTTCCCTTTTGTTGCCTCCAGTACTATACTGAATAAGAGCAGAGAAAGTGGGCATCCTTGTCTTATGCCTGATTTTAGTGGCAATGTTTGAGGTTTTCTCATTTAATATAGGTTGCCTATAGCTTGTCATATGTGGCCCTTATTGTGTTGAGATATATTCCTTCTATTCCAAGTTTCTTTTGGACTTTGATGCTGTAGGTGTGCTGTTTTTGCCTAAGCCTTTTCTGTATCTATTTATATTTGATTTCTGTCTTTGAGTCCATTTATATAATTTATAATATTTATTGACTATGTAAAATGAACCATCCCTTTATCTCTAAAACGAAGCCAACTTAATGATGGTCAATGACTTTCTGGTGTATTTTTAAGATATTTATTTTTATTTTCTAATTATCTTACTATTTGTCAGGAATGAAAGAGTATTTCTTCTGTCAAAAGTGTGATGTGAGGTCGGGCATGGTGGTACAGGCCCTTAATCCCCACACTCAGGAGGCAGAGGTACGTAGATGTCTGTGAGATCAAGGCCAGCCTGATCTACATAGTGAGTTTCTTGCCAGCTGGAGCGACAGGGCACCCTGTTTCAAATGACCAGGAAAAATGTGGTTGTGAGTCACCCACCCAATATGTGTTCTGGAAATTTACCTCAAGTCTTCTGAAAAGGTTGTACACTCTTAAATGCTGAGCTGTCTCTGGCCCCTGGTGTGTTATTAAATTTGCAAGTGCTTTGTTGAGAACTTTTTGTCTATGCTCCTCAGGGAGATTGACCTGTAGCTTTCTTTTTTCATTCTGTCTTTACCTGGTTTTGCTATCAGGGTAATAATAGCTTTATAAAGAGTTTGGAGCTAAACTTGTTGGTGCACACCTTTAATCCCAGCACTAGGGAGGGAGAGGCAGATGAATGTCTGTGAATTTGAGGGAATCTTGGTCTCAATAGCTGGTTCTAGGCCTGCCAGAGCTACAAAATAAGACCCCATCTCAAATAAAAAAGACAATCTTTCCACCCCCTCTTCTGTAATGGTCCCTGAGCCCTGAGTGGCAGAGCCTAGAAGTCCTATCCAGGGACAAGCACTTTGCAGTCCCTTGACCTCTACATTTTGGCTAGTTGTGATTTTCTGCATTAATTGCCCTCTCTTGCATGAGGAAGCTTTGCTGGTGGGAGTTAAGAGATGCATTAGTACTCTCTCTCTACCCACTGTTCCACTATGTGAGTGAGCCTCAGGTGCAGAGGGTCCATTGCAGATGTGTCACGTAGGGCTGGGCATCTCACACTTATTCTCTGTGTGACCATAAGGAAGCAGAGTTTTACAGTTGGCTCATATGAACTTATAGCAATGGTGGCAGCATGCCCAGGACCCATACAAACTCAAGCCAGACAAAAATCCAGTATAGAACTGGGGAAATGGGTTAGAAGTCCCAACCTTAGCTAAGGAACTATTAGCAGCTGATCACTGCTGGAATAGGCTGACTAAGCTCCAGTGGATGAACTCACACTAAGGACATCTGGGGACATAAACTTGATTCGATAGGTTTTAACATATATGACAGAATGCATGAAATCTGGTGAAGGGGCCATGGGAAATGAAGATAGGGGAGGGGATTTAAATATGGTTAAGATGTTTTATATGAAATGCACAAAAATTCAACAAAAATATATATTAGGGAAAAAAGATTTTAAAAAAAGAGAAAAGAGAAAACAGAGTTAGGTAGTGTTCCCAGCACCCACATGTAGGCTTATACCCACCTATAACTCCAATTCCAGTGGATCTTCTGCAGTCTACTGGCTGCCATGGGCACCTGCACACATGTAGCATACACACAAAGACACAGTCATGTGTGCGTACACACACACACACACACACACACACACGAATAAAACATAATTGGTTTTTTTTTTGGCTTTTTGAGACAGGGTCTCCCTGCAGCCCCAGCTGGCCTGGAACTCACTATGTAGACCAGGATGGCCTCAAACTCACAGAGATCCACCTGCCTCTGCCTCCCAAGTGCTGGGTCTAAAGGCGTGTACTACCACACCCAGCAAAAGTAAATGTTTTTAAAATGGAGTTAGGACTTAGAAGTGGCAATATACTCTCCTATAATATTTTATTAAATTTACATTTAAATTTATGTTCATTGTGTGTGTGATGTACTTCAGTTTAAAAAAAGTTAAAGGAAAGATTATAAGACAAGCTATTTCTTCTCCCTTTTTTGTAATATAAAAGAGTTGATGGTGGAATAATGATTTTCCCGATAGTTTAAACATTTTGAATAGGTCTCATATGTTTTAAAATCTAATAGCAGCCCCATAGAAGCCATGATAATAACTTGCTGGATGTTGCACTGTTAGTTGTAGATGTCCTGCTGTGACCAGTGCTAGGGAATTGAAGCTGAAACCAGATGTCTCCAGGCTGTACCACTCAGGAGTGCTTTACTATCCTGGAAAGCTTTTATTTAGGAAACTTAGTGTTAGAAGTTCATATAGAGTTTACATATGATAAATGCTCACACAGTCAAACAGTTCAAAACACACACGGGAATTTTTCTATCATTATTACTAAGAAAACAGTACAGTGTGCCCAAGGCAGTGGCAACTGGCCCAATAACAGACCTCCTTTGATACATGCACAAGCAGGGTGAGGGATGTGGCAGTCTGTTCCCAGCATTCCAGGATCCAGGTGTCTTAGTCTTCTTTCCAGCATCCTGGGAGCAGATACTCCCTGCCTCAAGCCTCATCTTCAGAAAAGCCTGAAGAAGTCTGTTAACTCTTAGTGAGCAGAGCACTATCGTTCTTAAGGGACAAAGGAGGTGACTACATTTAGTAAAAGACAGAAATGATTTGCGCACAGGGAATCTGATCACTCTTTAAAAAAATTAATTATATTTGTGTATACCTGAATACATGCCATAGAGCACATAAGGAGATCAGAAGGCAACTTGAGGGAGATGGTTCTTTCCTTCTACTATGTGGCTCTCAGGGATCAAACTCTGGTCATCAGTTTGGTAGCAAGTGCCCTCACCTGCTGAGTTATCATGCTGGCCATATTCTTTATGTTCTGTGGAGTTAGTTTCTGAATCTATACATAATGCCTAGCTCCTGTTTCCATCTTCACTCCCCCTACATAACTGAGCTCTTTATTTTTTGTTATTTTTTAAAGAGACAGGATCTTGTGATGTAGCTCTGACTGGCCTACAACTTGATATGTAGACCAGGCTGGCCTCAAACTTGCAGTGATCTACATACATCTGCCTCCCTGTGATGGGGTGACACCATACACATCCATGCCTGGCTTGAGATTCTTAGAATTTTCATATCCTTTTCTCATAAGCAAGAAGTGGCTCCCAATTCAGAAGAGGCTTCCTAATGATGGGCGGGCTGAACACAGTGGATATGCAGAGAACCTTGAATGCAATGCTGCTCTTGCTCCCTAGGGTGTTATGATCTGGTCAAGTCCAGTCCAGGACAGCATCATCACCAACCTGGCTACCCTTCCTGAGATGCAGCTTGCCATCACTGTAGACTTGCAAAAAACCATCAAAGTGTGGAACTGTCACAATAGGACTGCTCTAGCTACTTATACCATGCCCTATGGATGTTCTATTTTGAGAGCTTTTTTTAGAAAAGATGGCCCATTCCTCATGGTAAGTGATCCTCAAATCTGATTAGGAGCACAAAACAAAATTCCAGATGACTTGGTTGCCCCTTACTATCGCATCTCAATCTGTTGTCTTGGAGTCATCCCTGCTTACCTGTGAGTCAATCTCTATGTACCAATCAGTGTTGACCATGGAAACTTCCATACCATCTTGGCTTTTGACATACCTCCCATACATTTCCCAAAGCAATTCTTTTTTAAAACAATTTCTTTTTTTAATATTTATTATTTTTATTTTATGTGTATGAGTGTATTGCCTGCATTGCATATAAAAACACCTGTGTCCTGAAATGCCCATGGAGGTCAGAAGAGGGTATCAGATACCCTGGAACTGGAGTTACAGATGACTGTTAGCTGTCATGTGGGAGTTATGCTGCGGATCAGAAGAGGACTTCGGATTCCCCTGGAACTGGAGTTAAGGACGGTTGGTAGCTGCCATGTGGGTGCTGGGAATCGAACCCAGGTCCTCTGCAAGGACAGTCAGTGCTCTTAACCGCTGAGCCAACTCTCCAGCTCACAGCCATTCTTTTAAAAAAAACAATAAAAATCTTCTTCCTGGAGGTTGAGGAGATGGTTCGGTGGGTAAGAGTTCTTGCTGTGCAAGCATGACGACCTGAGTTCCAATCCCTAGCACCCACATAAAAATTAGGATGTGGCTGCATGCACCTGTATACAAAGCACTGTGTGGAACCATGAAAGAAGGACCCAGTGGGCTTGCTGACAGCCAGTATAGTCCAGGTTCAATGAGAGACTCTGTCTTAAGGGAATAGAGTAGAGAGTAATGGAGCAAGACACCTGACATACTCCCCTGGCCTCCATGTGTACATAGACTTGCATACCTGCATCATACATTTGAATATATTACACACATATACGCCTGCCCCCACATAAACACACACACACACACACACACATACACACACACACACACTTTCCTAAATCTTCATGTCTATGTTGCATCCTTGAAATGTGTCTTATTGTTGAGTCCATGAACTTAAACAGGGACAATGGAGAGAGATTTGAATTTATCAGACATTGGGGAGGGTAAAGGTTAGTGTTGATGTCCCAGTGAGTCATTGGGAAGAGTGATTTGGGGCTTAGAAAGACTTTTTGTTTAGATTTTTAAATTATGTGTATAGATGTATATCTGTATATGGGTATATGCACACATGAGTGCAGGTACCCATATTGTCCAGAAGGGGCAGAAGATCCCATGGAGCTGTAGTTAGAGATATTGTGAGCAGCCTTATGAGGGTGTTTGGAACCGAACTTGGGTCCTCTTCAAGAATATTACATGTTCTTAACCCCCAAGCCATTTCTCAAGACCAAGAAAGGCTTATTCCATGCAATCATCTCATTCACTCTGTGAAGGTGGGTGGTCAGAGAGCTGGATCTCTATCCTGAGATTAAAGAAATGGCACAGTATTTCAGAGCTGACAGTGCTGCCTTTTCTTTTTTTTGTGTGTATTTTAATGTGTTTTTCTGCTCATAGGTGCTGATGCTTTGATTTCAGGTGGGCGATTATGCTGGTCACATCTACACATTTATGTTACCTGAGTTGAGGTCTCTTTCTGTGATCCGAGCATTTGAATATGGTGTTGAATTGCTATGCTGCTCTCCTGAGAATAAATGGGTCTTTGCATGTAAGACACATCCTCATGTCTACCCAAAGGTAGGTTCTGTTCTGGGAACTTCAACTTCAGGATGGGAGGGTCAAGTTAGAGTTAGAGCTCTAGACCTCAAGAGGCCCAGACATCCTTCTTCCTCTCCTCTAAGACTATCATAAGCAGAAGCCCTTCCTAGAATCAGGAATCAGTGTTCTTGGAAGCATACATGTCCAGTCGCAATGTCAAATATTTATTCATGCATTTGTGACACCTCAGTCAAATGGGGGATGAAGCAAGGTGTGAAAGATATCAAGAAGTAAGGGTCCTGGACCTTTACTTTTGCTTTTGTAAATTTTATCTATGATTGGAAAGCAGAGAATGTCCAAAATTGAATAAATATACATTAGCCCCAAGGAAGTCATTGGCTTCTGATTAGCACATCTTGTACCTGTGGACTTGATACTTGAGAACAAGGAGTTAAGAGGGATGATGGTAAAAACAATACTGGATATGGACACAGGCCTGCAATCCCAGACCAGGGAGTGGATTCTGGGGTTTAGGAGGAGCGGGGGTCCAGTGGCAGGACTATTGCCATGAGTTCAAGGACAGCCCCAGCTAAACAATGAGAACCTGTCTCAATGCCTTCTCACTTAAAAAAACAAAACAAACACAAGTATGATAACCATAAACAAAACAATAACAGCAGCAACAAGAAAACAAGAAAAAACACAGGTCTTTGTGATGGGAAATGCTACTTAACCAACCTGTTTGACGAGCAGTCCAACATGGCAGGATGACTGTGTGACCCTGTGGTTTGAGTCAGGGACTCCATTCTATGTGTGACTATGACAGGGACAGGAACACTGTTACTCACACACCAAGTGAAAGCAGTGACTGCTCAGCCCTCCCTGGGATGGCGAACAGAGCCAGCCACACAAGGATCCATTCCTAAGAACACACCTGGAGTCACTCATGTGCCAGACTGCTGTAGTGCCTGCCTTCACCAATTCCCCAAATGGTCATCTCTCCACAGGTGCTTCTAATGGACTGCTTCCTGAGACCATCAGAGGGATGCTTCCCCATGTATGTCTGTCTCCCATTTGCATTCGGTTTTACAGCTTGTTGGACCCCAAGGAGAGAAAACAGGATAACACTGATGTACCGGAGAGGCTCCCACAGATACACCGGATTTATCACATTTGATCTAGGACTGAAGAACACTGGGAACAAAAAAGCTATTGTAGGTGGGCCTCCCACCTTAGAAACGCTTCTCAAGCCAGGCATGGTGGCACAAACCATGGTGGCAAAATACTGGCATTTAGGAGGCTGAGGAGGGAAGATCATGAGATGGAGGCCGTCTTGAACCATACAGTAGGAGCTTTTCTTAAAAAACAAAAAGATGGGGCTGTCGAGAGAGCTCAATGAGCACACACACACACATCTCATACAAATGCACAATAATAGTAATGAATAAATTTTTAAAATACAGAGGAAAAGGAAGTATATTATTATGGAATCAACAAGATGGTTCAGTGGGTAGGGACACTTGCCATCAAGACTGGCAACTTGAGCTCAATTCCCTGGTACCTATATGGAGGAAGGTGAGAAATAACTTCTGTACGTCATCCTCTGTCTGTCACATTCACGCTGTGCCATTCATGCCCCACCACATCAAACAAGTGTTAAAACAATTACTTAAAAAAAAACACTGACTCCCTATAGACACATTAAACCATAAATGCATTTAAATATGTCAGCCTTTGTAAAGGTACCATAGGGGCTCCTCAGTTGGGTGTGAACCTGTGCCTGTTTAACTGTAACACTCAAGTGTGACACCCTGCTCCCTTGGACAGACATGTTTTCAGTTCCATCATGTGTTAGGGCCTAGTTTCCAATGTCCTTTTCCAGCACAGCAGCTTTCCAATGTTTGAGCTGTTATTGATGGTCCACAGTGTTCCTGTGTCATAGCACACCTTACCATGGTCAGTGACACAGATTTGTCAAACCCCTGGACTATCTTCATTGTCCCACTGACTAGAGTCCTGTGAAAATCCAGAGTATGTTTTCACTGAGAAATGATATATTCTTCTAAGTGATTTGAAAAATGGCCTGCATTTTTATTCTATATGTTTTGTATGAAAACAGCACAGCCAATTGAAGGCTTCCTGTTGCCAGCACATATAGGCACCCCAAGGACGATGGGAGTCAGTGATGCAAATGTGATCATTTTTGGAAGCGGGCCGTATCTGTTCCTCTACACCACTGATGGACTCCAGCTGCATCGATTTGAGGCCCACCAGAGAGACATCAAGACCCTATGGGTGGTATGTGGGACGCTGCCCCTCATCCTGTGTTTTTAAAATTTGGTATAAATTTGTTTTATTACAATTACTGTGCGATTGTGCTACATACCATGGCACTCATGGAGACCAGAGGATTACTTTGTGGCGCCAGTTCCCTCTGTCCTCCTTTATGTGGATTCCAGGGATCTAGCTCAGGTCATCAGGTTTACACAGCAAGTGCCTTTACCTACTGAGCCATCTCACTGGTCCTGTCTCTCTGATTTGATCTGATCTTGACTCCTGTCCACTTACATCTTGGTGTCCTTTACAGGATTCTCTGCATGTCCTTTCCACATCTGAGGATGGTTCACTGAATGTGTACATGTGGGAGGAGGGAGGCCGTCATCTCAAGAGCTGCTGTCATCTGGAATACATGAGGAGTCGTCTGCCACCACACTGGTAAGCCCTGCTTTGTGACTTTAACTTCTCCTTGATTTTTATTTCTACATTAACATGAATGTAAATATATAGATCTTTTAAAGATTCTCTGACTATATGTGGCTAAATTTATGATCTCCAGCACCACATACATCAAAGTGTGGTAGTGAATGACTGTATCCCAGCACTCAGGATCAGAAAATCAAGGTTATCTTGTCTCCATAGTAAGTTTGAAGCTAGCCTGGGCTAATTTCAGCATTGTCTCAAACAATGAAAAGAAAAAAGAGAATTGCCAGTCTCTTGGCATCAACTTTCTAGCTGACTTGGTTGACACTTGCACAAAGAGGGAAGGGAAGATGGTGTCCTCTAGGTCCCAACTTTACTGGCAAGATTTGTGCCTTTTTAATTTCCGTTTCCACTTGTGTTGCTTCTTTAGTGAGTTGCCTTTATCTCCATTTGGCTAATTTTTCCTTTTGGTTACGTGCATTCATCCACATTATTTTTCTTGAAAAAGATGTGACGGTGCAAGCCTGTGATCCTAGTACTAAAGAGACTGAGGCGTATGCACATACACAAGTTGTACCCACCATATACATAAACTATATGGGTAAGAAATACATTTAAAAGAGAATATTTAGCTAGGCATGATGGTACATGCCTTGAATACAGGCACCGGGGAGGCCGAGGCAGGTGGGTGTTTGTTAGTTCCAGGCCATCAAGAGCTACATAATGAGACACTGTCTCAAGAAAAAAAATGGGGGGGACATTTAAGTTATTATGATATATCTAAACAATGTGACATTATGCAGTTTTTATTAATAAAATAGAAAAATCAATGTTAAGTTATTTGTGGTGCTTTTGAGGGCTCCAGAATATTTTGATTAAATGCATATAGTGCTTCCAAAGACACTGGGCAGCATTTTTCTGCATTTTTCTCTTTGTGACCTACCTGAGAATAATAAATATTTATTTCATTAAAAATTTTTAATGACTTCCCTTTCCCATATTGCACAATTTTGAGTCTTTTCTTACTCTGAATATGTTTTAAAGATTTATTATCTATTTTAATTTATTTATTTTTAATTGAATTTTTGTGTATTTCCTATAGAAATCATCTTTATACCCCCTTCCCCTTTGGAACCCTCCCATAGCCCCTCCCAATGGAGTTCATACATTCTGTCATTTGTCTTAAGGCCTTTCATGTCAAGTTAGTGTCCCTAGATGTCCCTCAGTGCAAGTTCATTCACTGAGGTCTAGTCAGCTTACCTAGAGTCTCTCCCTTTAAGAAGATCAGCTCTTCCTCACCCAGCAGTAATCAGCTGCTAATAATTCTTCAACTAAGATTGGGCCTGTGTTCATTTCCTCAGTTCTGTGCTGGATTTTTGTCTGCTTGAGTGTGCATGGGTCTTGTACATGCTGACACTATTGCTGTATTCTTTATTTTTAATTATGTGCATACAGGTGTGTCTGTATATGTGCACATGTGTGCTAGTGTCCATAGAAACTAGAAGAGGTTTTCCCATATCCCAGAGGACAGGGATAATTTATGTCCAATATAATTCAGTCCTCTAAAACAAATTTGTTTTGGCAAAAACACAAATTCTGTAATCAGAAGCAGAATGAAATCACAGAATGTCACTCCATTGTCTTCTGTCCCATTGCAACCTGTCTCATCTCTGTCTCTGTCACCAGACAACCACTGATCCATTTTCTGTCCTTCTAGATTATTAGGCTATATTTTGATTTTTTTTGTGTGTGTGTAAACAGAATGAGTCTGTATCCCTTCTTGCCTGGCCTCTTTCAATGAACGCGGTGTTCTGAGGCCCACCATGCTATGGACAGCAGTAGTTTACCCCTCTCTGTGGCTGACCAGTGTTCCAGTGTGCAGAGCTTCATAGAGGATGAAGACATTTATCTTGTTTCCAATTCAAGACAATTAGAAATAAAACTAAACATTTAAGAATAGGTTTTTGCATGTATTCACCTAAGAGTTTTTCTTTTAAAAATTTTTAGTTGTTAGTGTTTTGTCAGTATTTGAGATAGAGTCTAAAGTTGCTATCTAGATGAGGTTGACCTTGAACTTATGATCCTCCTGTCTCCACGGTGCTGGGATTTGTGCCACCATGCCTGGTTTATACAGTGATGGAAACTAAATCAAGGGCTTCGTGCAGGCTACACAAGCCCTCTACCAACTGAACTACATCCCCAGCAACCTAAGTTGTTAGTTTTTTATTTATTTCTAAGTCCACTTTATTGAGAGAGAGAGAGAGAGAGAGAGAGAGAGAGAGAGAGAGAGAGAGGAGAATGAATCTGGGTCTACTCTGTGTGTGGGTACTTTCAAATACCAGAAGAGAAGTTTGGAGTCTCTCGAGTTGGGGTTATAGGTGGTTCAGATCAGCTAGACTTGGGTATTCAGAATCAAAGCTGGGTTCTTTGGAAGAACAGCAGGTGCTTTTAAAAACTGAGCCTGTTCTCCAGCCCTCTATGCCCATTGAAATTTTTTTCATTTGATTTTAGGTATATGAGTGTTTTGCCTGCGTTAAAATGTGCCACATGTATGCAAGTGCCCATGGAAGCTAGAAGAGGGCATCATTTCCCCTGGAAATGGAGATATGGATGATTGTTAGCCACAATGTGGGTGCTGGAAACTGAACCTTGGTCCTCTGCAAGAGCAGCCAGTGCTCTTAACCACTGAGCCATGTCTCAAGCCCAATTTTGGGATTTTTATTTATTTTTGGGGGAGAAAGAATATGACACTGTAGTCCAGGCCATTCTGGAGCCTACTATGTAGCCTAGGATATAACTCAATGTAATCTTCCTGACCTGGCCTCTCAGAAAACTGTAATTACGTACCTAGCCACTTCAACATGCTGATCTCAGTTCCTTTAAAATCTACCCCAAGGAGTGGGGTTGCTGTGGCAATTGCCATATGGTGTTCCTAAGTGGCCACAGCAATTTACATTGCACACAGCAGTGTACAGTGTTCCTTCCCCTCCCCCATTCTTGCCAACGTTTATTCTGTTTAGTCTGCTTGAAAGTAGCTATTCTAACAAATGAAGGTGATGTCCTGCTGTGGTTTTAATTTCTATTTCCCTGGTGTGAGATACTGAGCATTTCTTTTATTTGATGGCCATTTTTATATACTGTTGTTGTTGCTGTTTTGACATATGATCTCGTTTGGTCCAGGCTGACCTTGTATTGAATATCTAGCTGGGGCGGTCCTTGAATTCTGATCCTCCTGCCTCCATCTCTCAAGTGTTGGAATTGCAGGTGTGTGCTACCATGTCTAGCAAGAAATTTCTGTTCATGTCATTTACTTATTTTCCTTTTTCTAGGATTGTTTTGATACTACTGAGTTCCTTGTATATCATTGAGACCAGCCTCTTATCTGCTGTATTGTTCTGTTTTACTTTATTAAGCATGTAGCAAGCAAAAGTAAAATAACAAACTAATTAACCAATAGACAGCAAGCTCATCAGATCAGACACTTAAACATCATCAAATCAGGTACTTACAACATCCAGCAGATGGATTTCCAGGTAGCTGGAGTTCCATATTGGGAGTCCCAGGCAGAGCAAAGTGGTCTCTCCACAGATGAACTTCCAATTTCTCATTCCCACTGCGGGCATTTTTACACCATGGGATAAACAATAGCAATGACCCCTGTTGGAAATGGTTTGCCTTCTAGCTATTCTCAAGGGCACAGTGTTTTTTAATACCTTTAACTGTTTGCTGTTCTCCTCACTGTTACAAACCAGAGGACCAGCCTGCCTCAAACCAGGGAGTGTGGGGGACATGTGCATGTCTGACACAAGGGGGTCTCTTCCCTCTGAGATTCTGCTCTCAAAAAGCACAAACATCTTATCTTATCCCCCATTCATACCCCCCCACCAGATTTCATGCATTTTGTCACATATGTTAAGGCCTACCAAATCGAGTTTTTGTACCCAGATGTCCCTTGGTACAAGTTTGTCTACTGGAGTCTAGTCAGCCTATTTAGAATCTCTCCCTTAAAGAAGATCAATTCCCCCTCACCCAGCACTGATCAGCTACCAGTATTTCTTCGGCTCAGGTTGGGGCCTGCTGCCCATTTCCTCAGTTCTATCCTGGATTTTTGTCTGAGTGTGCATGGGCCTTGTGCATGCTGACACCATTGCTGTAGGTTCATATGAGCAAGTTCCCAGAGTCCTGGAAGATTGTTTCCATGTGATCACGCACCAACACTGGCTCTTACAATATTTCCACCCTCTCTTCTGCAATTGTCCCTGATCCGTGGGTGAGTGAGGCTTAACATAGGAGTCCTATCCAGGGACACACTTATTCTCTACCTTTTGGGCTGTTGTGGCCTTCTGTATGCATAGTACTGTTATATGAGGACACTTTGCTGGTGAGAGTTGAGAAATGAATTAGTGTTCTCTCTATGTTTCACTATGGTCCACGAGCCTTAGGTACAGAGGTTCCATTGTAGATGTGTCACTTAGGGCTGGGCATTTCTCAGACACTTAATCTCTGTGTGTGACCAGTTGTGGAACTCTGTAATAGTCTCCATCTGCTGCAAAAGAAGCTTCTTTGAGTGGTGACGGCATGCATTCCCATTTTAAACCATAGCTCTTGTTGCCTCTGCTTCTGAGGTCTCATCTGAGAAATCATTTCCCCTGAGGTTTCTAGTTTCAGGTATAATTTTGTCTTTAACTTATTTGGAGTGTAATATTGCATAATGGGAGAGATAAGGATGTAGTTTCATTCTTTTTTCTTCTTTCTTTCATCAATTTAATTTTGAAAGTGTGTGAGTCAAAGATATATCTCTCTATATATATATAGAGAGAGGAGAGGGAGACACACACACACACACACAGAGAGAGAGAGAGAGAGAGAGAGACTATATATAGAGAGAGAGGAGAGGGAGACACACACACACACACAGAGAGAGAGAGGGAGAGAGATAGAGAGAGAGAGAGAGAGAGAGAGAGAGAGAGAGGAAACACCACCAGGAGGATAGAGCACAGAGAGAGATATTCCTATCAC